TGGAAGCCCTGGCACCATGAAATTTGGGTAAACAAGCCGTTGAGCTCTACATCAGCGCTATAGGGCGCTGCATGTGTCAGCACTGCGTGGTCAACTCCTGCTCATCTGCGGCGGTCAACACAAGAAACCACCACCATGTGCTGATGAGGCCCAACGATAAAAATGTTGTAATGAATCTGTGTCATGCATAGGTAACATCTATAGGATAAGTCGAGGGCGGCTTGGCTGGCTCAACACAGTAGGTGGCATGTGGGCGACTGCCCTCAACTGAACTCCAGTGCATACCGTACGGTACAGCCGATGACAATTCTTCGCTGTATCCGAAACCCCGATCATGGAAGTGGCATGGCAGCCTCCATATTTTGCACAAATAACTCGGCATCTACTGCGTAGCAGCACTCAGTTCGATCTGCGGCCCTTCTGACACGCAATTGATCATGGCCGCGGCCCCGACGGGATTCTTGTTCGCGCTACCAGAATCTCTGTTTGACAATGCACGGCTGGCTGGAGACACTACGCCATATCAAGCGACCAGCGGCAGGTGTGTGCCTCTACGCAGGATGCATGCTGCTGCTGCCTGCTGCTTGACGCTGCCGCTTGCGCTGCGCGCAGCCAATGGCTCCCCTTGTTGCTCCTTTGATCGACTTGCACCTTCTACAGTGGGCCTGACTCGGCACAGGGCGAGCAGGACCCCTCGACAGCCACGCCAGCGCAGCAGCCACAGCCGGGGCAAAAGCCACAGGAGCAGGAGCAGCAACCGGCCCCCGCCGACGCCGCCTGGGGGGAGGCGGGCGCCACCTGTATCGCCTGCGGCATAGGTGTGAACGGCCCCGGGTTCGCATCGCCGGCGGAGCAGCGTCAGCATTTCAAGACCGACTGGCACAGGTGCGCGATCTGCTCCACGCGAGGGCGCCTGTGCATAGCACTTCTTGACTCCCGGCTGTCCTCGTGCCAACTCAAGCCGCAGCGGGCGTTTGGCGCTTGCGCAGCCGTTGGACTGGCGTCTGTTCTCAAGCAGTCAGTCATGCTTGTGTACGATCCCTGCCGGTTCCTGGGACCTATCAGCCCGCCCTGTGCGCCGCTGCCGCAGATACAATGTGAAGCGGCGCGTCGCGCGCAAGCCTGCGGTCAGCGAGGACCAGTTTGACCGAATCGTGGAGGAGGAGGACGAGGTGTGGGGACGCGCGTGTGTGTTGCCTGTGTTCTTATGTAATATGTGTATGTTGGCGTGTGTGTCTGTTGGCATGTGAGCTTACGCGTGTGGGCGTGTGTTGGCGTGTGTCTGGGGGATCATGGATCTAAATCGCCGTTACTGGCGTCGTTTTGCAGGTCATGTTGTTGGTGTGTCCAACATGATTTCAGCGGTGACCGGCTCTTCACAAACCGCAGCGCCAGCAGCAGAGCTTGCTGCCACTGCGACACTGGCGCTTACCCAACCGCCGCTTTCATCGTGCCCGTGCGTTTCGCGACGGCAGGTGTCAAGCATATCAGGCTCTGACACCGCCGACAGCAGCAGCGACGAGGACGAGGGAGTTGAGGAGGGGGACGAGGAGGAGCAGAGCCAGGGTGGCGGCGAGGACGGCGGCGGCGGCGGCGCGGCAGCCGCGCGGCGACAGCAGCGGCGGGCGCGGCGGCAGCGGGAGCGCGGCGGGGGCAAGGCGCCGCAGCTGGTGTTTGAGTCCGCGGGTGAGGCTGATGCTGCTGCGGACGGCGGTGGCAGCTGACCGGAGACCAGCGCAGAACAGCACTGGCACGGCAGCAAGCACATGACTGTGTGTCTCTGTGCTTTTGCGCCGCGCTCAGCAGCCAACGACAGCAAGCTTGGCCCCTCTCGTTCACCCCAGCACGGGCGCTCCCCTGCCCCTCCGCCGCAGACGGCGCGCCGCTGGCCGTGTGGCGCTGCCTGCTGTACCCTGACCACGCGAAGGGCCGCCCCGCCGACTCAGACCTGCTCCAGGAGCTGCGCCGCGTGCGGCGGGGCGCCGCGTGCTGGGCGCTGCTGCTGCTGCGCGGCGGGCACTTTGCTGCGGCGGTGTTCCGCGTGCGGCCGGCGCCGACGGGCAAGGGGCAGCACGCGGGGGAGCCTTTCGAGGTGGTGGCCCACAAGACGTTCCACAGATACGTCGTCAGGTGATCTGGACGATCTCGGTGATCTGGGCGATCTGGGCGATCTGGGTGCTGTGGGTGGTCTGGCTGCGGCGAGGGGTGGGCATGAAGCAGCAGGGGCGTGCCAAAGGCGTGCCGCGCGTTTGCTGTGGGGCCTTGTGGGGAGCAAGGCCCAATAACTCACAACCCCGTGAGCGCTAGCGTCCTCGCAATGCGCAGCCCAGTACCCCACACACCGCTTGCAGCGGCGCTCACGTTTGCAACGTTTGTACCAGATTGGTGTCCTGCCGAAGCTCCCTTTTCCAAGCAGCTCACTCCCATGGCCATGAGTGCGTGAGGATTGCCCTCACCAAACCTCGCCCACCCCAGGGCCAAGGCGGGCGGCAAGCAGTCCTCAAAGGACGCCAGCGGCAAGTTCGCCAAATCGGCGGGCAGCGCGCTGCGGCGGTACAACGAGGGCGCCCTGGCGCGGGACATAGCGGACCTGCTGGCGGAGTGGCGCCCGATGCTGCAGGGGGCGGACATGTGAGAGGGGTTGGCTCGTGGGGCTTCTGTGGGTCCCGTGTTGGTGTCTTTGTGATGGCTTTGTGGCCTGGGGTCGGATCATCTGGGCCTCTTTTTGCTGGCTGGATGGAGGGTTTGGCTGGGAGCAAGGGGGCGCTCCTGCCGCAAGGGCGGAAGAGGGGATTGAAGGGGGTGTTGAGGGTGGAGTTTGTTGTGAGGTGGGTTGGGGGTGTGTCAAAACGACGCTGGGCAAAACCACAGCAAGGCGACTCGCATCACCCGTGCCGCGCCCCACCCCGCCCGCGCTTCGACCCCAGGATCTTTGTGCACGCACCCTCGTCCAACGCTAAGCTGGTCTTTGGCGCCAGCGCGGCCGGCGACCGCGCGGCGCCCGGCGAGCGCTGGGCGCTCGACCCCGCCGACCAGCGCGTGCGGCGCGTGCCGTTTGTGACGCGGCGGCCGACGTTCAGCGAGCTCAGGCGGGTGCTGCTGCTGCTGGGCGCGGTGATGCAGCCGCGGATGGAAGAGGTCCACGAGGAGGAAGAGGATGGAGAGGCGGGGGAGGACGCACAGCAGCAGAAGCGGCGACAGCAGCAGGAGGAGGGGAAGGGAGGGGCGAGAGCGGAGGCAGCGGCGGGAGCGAGCGGCAGCGGCGGGGCAGACGGCGCTGCGGCGGCCGCCGCAGACGGCGCAGCAGCGGGCTCGTCTCGGAAAAAGGCGGTACGTGTGTTTGACCACCCTTGGTCAGGGCAAGGGTAGCTGGGGGTGGCTGAGGGTGGTTGACATTTCTCGGCATCGTTTCATCTCCTCCCCGTGCGCGTGTCCTTCCGTCGGCTGCTCACAGCTGCTGCCAGCCTCGCCTCGCCCCCCTCGTTGACACCCGCTGCATCACCAGCAGCCTTTGATTGCTGCAATTTCCAAAACAGATCCTGTGCCTAGGCAACTGGCCGTGACGACGCGATCCTCTGCAGCTCCCCAGTGACACACCTGGCCCCACGACTTATCCCACGACCAGGATGACCCCCCGCTGCTCAAGGCAGCGAAGGCGGGCGACGCCGACCGCGTGGCGCGGCTGATGGAGTCGGGTGCCCACGACCCCGCGGCCGCGGATTCGCAGGGGCGCACCGCCTATCAGCTGGCCGCAAACAAGGAGGTGTGGTTCGTGTGTATGTGTGTGTGTGTTGTGTGTGTATGTTTTGCGTATGTGTTTGTGGTGGGGTGCATTTGGTTTTGTGGTTTGAAGTGTTTTGGGGCCATGGGGTTGCATTGTTTGAGATGTGTGTCAATGGGGGCTGCATGTGTGCTTGCATGCGCGTGTGCCTGTGTGTGTGAGCAAATGTGGTACGACGGATGGCGCGGCAGAGTGGCCGCGGGCCGGTGGTGCTCTTTCGCTTGTGCTTGCGCACTGGGGCTCGCGACAACGCCCAGGCCTAGACGGCCACGGTGGCTTCCTGGAGGCCAGCCGGCACGATGGGCGCCCGGCTGGGCAGATAGGCGGCAACAGCCCCGTGCGTATGGGCGCGTCGCACACCACAAACTCGGTAACCTACGCGATCGATCGAACCCAACCACACACGCGTGCACACATACCCTTGTTGCCAGGTTCGCGACGCGCTGCGCCGCGCCATGGCGGCGGCGCCGGACGCGTGGGACTGGGGCGCGGCCAGGGTGCCCAGCCCCCTGACAGACGAGCTCGAGGCGGCGCAGGCGTCGAAAAAGGTGGAGGGGGGGCGGCTGTTTCGGGCTGGCGGGCTTGAGACTCTCAAAGGAAACTTTGATGTGCACACTGGCGTGCACACCCCAAACACACACACACACACACCCCAAACACACACACACATATCACGCACACACACACACACACACACACACAC